ATATATATACTGTATAGTTTTTTGCCATAATTGTGATTTGTGTAAAATGAGTCTATAAAGTCACTATGTAGAGGTCTCAGTATCTAAAGCAAATGTTTGGTGTCACTGTGAAGCGTGGGAATTCTGTTTTCTATGTAGAGCCTTTATAGTTAAATGTTTTAAAACACTGCAGTCTCTGAAGAGGTTAACATGTATGTTGTGAGTGATTTTAGGTAGAACATCTTTTCTAAAATTCATTGTAATTAATTTTAGACGGCACAGTTTTTCTTGCCTTGACACTGCTTCATTTTTATACGTAAAGCTTTTCTATAATTTATGGTAATTCATCTTAGATGGTGCAGCTTTTCTAGTAGTGATGGTAATTCCCATGTCTGGTTAGTGGTTTGTCTCTGCAGCCCATAAAAAATGTACAGACCTGAAAAAAAAAACTATACAAGTGTTGAAAACAGTCACTATAAAAACACTTAAAATTTATATTTTCTGTTCATTTGAAATTTTGATGTTCACTTTGAAAACTTGTTAGTTTCAGCACAACTGTAATTTAATTACTGTAAAAATATATTTTATTTACTATTTACCATCCTGATCGTACAACTTCTGTAGTAACTTTATTTTTTTAAAGCAAGGTTTCATTTTTTTTTTTGTTTATGTTGTGTTCTTCAGATTTCTGTTCTTATTTTCTGTACATTATTGAATTAAAACTGTAGTCAAAGGGAAAGACATAAATGCTGCAATGCAAACCGTTTAAGGGCTTTAATAAAGAAAAAAATCCTTAAACCACTTCAGGCATTGGTCCTTGGAAAACATGCAACGGCAGTTTCTGTCCTTTAAAAACAAACTCATCAGCAAATAAATAGAAATGTTATGAAACGGTTCATCAAAATTTTGTATCTGAGTTCTTTTACAGATCTGCTTTTGTAACTTCTGCTCAGTTTGAAGGATTTCAGATCTTTCTTTTCTGCTGAAAAGCACCATCCTGCAGCACTGAAGCCTTCTGCTATAAGTGTTTTCTGTGCTGCAGAAAGGACAGGATGTCACCACCAAGCTCCAAACAAACCACAGCCTGCAGGAAACACGGCTTCACTTATTTCTTTTTATAAGTCAGAGGGTTTTAAATGTGTGATGAGACTGTTCGGTGACGTGATGATGCAACTTCTCTGTGGGTGTTTTTGCAAAAAGACAATTATAGATTTTACTAACAGCTAAGTTACCATATTGACATATTTTCACTCTTCATTGTGTGATAAGATTTAAAGTTTGTAGCTTAAAATCAGTTTATTGAGCTGTTTCTACTCTGTCCCTTATTAAATACTATTTGTTCTGAACCTATTTGAATCAGAGCACAGCCCAAGTGTTGTAAAAATATAAAGTATAAAAACAATAAAATGACATGAAATTAAAGATTTGCAATAAATTGGTGAAATATGTTACATGAAAGGACAAAATAAAAACCAACCCTTATGAAGCGGGGAACAAAAACATGTTATATTATTTCTCCTCTGATAAAATATAAATATTCATATGAAGGCCTATAAGAAATAAGAAGCCCATTTTGAAATATTAAAAACACATAATTTCAGCTTAATTCAAATTATTACAGGAACAATAATTTAGACAAAACTGTTGGATATATAT